AGATACTTTATTTTTTATTCCTAGAAGGTTTAAAAAAATGTGTCATCAACCTTTAGGTTTTGTTTCTTGTTTTCAGTTTCTGTGAACATATTAAATATAGTCATTTCTTTGTTCTAAACTTTAAGTGTTTGACGTTTTTGCAGGTCTTTTTGTACATCTGTTGTTTCTTTTAATTCTTTGTCTTCTACTTGTTCAATTGTGTATTTAGTTGTGTTTTTACTATGAGGCATTCATTTTCTTTATAACTTTGGGGATATTATCTTGAAACTCCAAAAGTTTTTGTTGTTGCTTTTGACAGGCACTGTTACAGATTAAATTACTTCCTTGATGGGTTTTGGACTACTCAGATAGTGTGAATTCTGGCTGCAAATCCATGTTGATGTGATGGCAGGCTTTTGGTACCAATTTGTGAGTAGTGATATTTTTCACCCTCTTAGTACTTACGGTTGGCTTTCTTTTCTGTTATTTGTTTTGTGATGAGGAATTATTTCCAGGGCCTCTGTATTGAAGATCTAGTTCTCTGGAGGTAGGGGTATCCATCTTTATGGGAAGAGGATCTTCTGTTAGACTCCCTATGTTATGCAAGTCGTGGGTTAGTCTCCTATTCTTTATATTCTTTCAGTTGGGAATACCTACACTCCAGGTCATACTAGCAAATGTTTTCCAAGTGAAAGCCAGCTTCAGTCTTATCGCTTTGGGATCCCGTCCTCATTTACTATTTGGTCTTTATCCTTGCTCTCTTATCTACATGTGGTTGTACTTAAAATATTTTAATATTGTATCCAACAATTGTAAATGTTTTGTGGTATGGATACTAAGCCCACTAGATTTCTTTAATGCAAATGTACTTGCCTTCAACCCTCTTCATGCAAAGCCACCTACTTATTACCTCCTTTGTGTCTCCTTGGATTAGACATAGTACTGGGGCTGAGAGTGAATCATCTTTGAATACCTGGTTTTCATACAGTGGGTATTTAAGGAATGCATCACAAAGGAAAAGATCCTTAATTTTGACTACATAATGTATGTAAAGAAGTTCAACAAAATTAAAAGATAAATTGTAAATCTGTTAAGGGTTGAGTTTGTTTTCCTTGGTTTTTGTCCCCACCATAACAAAGTTTTGAATGGCAAAGACACAGTAGTAAAGCAGAATGAACATTTTATTCAAATACACTCCAAAGGAGGAATGGGCTAAAGTCAAGGTAGACAAAATCAGGTTTATATGGTTATATGATAGGGGAGGAGCAGGCCAGAGTCAAGAGAGACAAAGGCAGGTTTACTTGAATAAAGTAGAGAGGAAGGAAAAACAGAGGGAGGAAAGGGAAGCTCATTGAACTGCTGCTCAGCATTGGGCATAATCTTTTGCCAGCTCCTAAAGCCAGTGTCACCTGGTGTCCATGTCTGCTTGAATCTGCGTGGCATGGGAACTAAGTCCCTCCCACCCCAGGATTTGGGGAAGCTGTAGAGCACTGGGTGGAGTGAGATTATGTTCTGAGAACTTCCTGAAGTCAAAGAAAGATTTTCAGGCAGGCTACTAAGGAGCATGATCGTATAGCCACAGTTTCATCTGGGTCACCCAGGTGACAGGAACTTGCAAGTCCAAATCAGAGCTCTCAGTAGCCCCTCCCTAGGACAGAGAGAGTGACACACTTGAAGAAAGGGGAGTGCAGGCAACCTCAGAGAGGAGGTGCACTTAATGGCTTAGGATTCTATTTTTTAAGCATTCAAGAATGGGATAAAGGTGAAAGGTTGGGGGTGGGTTGTAGGCTTGACATGTGGTCTCATAATGTCTATCTCCAGTGAGGGACACTATGTCCTCTTCCATAGTCAGTCTTCCAGATAATTCTGTAAGATAAACTTAACACAAGGAATTTATTGATCCTGTTCCTCTCCAACATAGTGGTTACCCTCAGGCTCTGGGAACATCAGTTAAGACTGCTTGCCTTGCCTTAAGATATGTTGTTGGCTGATTACCAAGGAATATGTTAGGAATTTTACCTCCTAACTCCCTGGTTTTTAAAATGGAATCTTAGCCCTAAGGTGGAGTCCCTCCTGTTCCTACTGTATTGTTTATATCTCAGCATTTTTCATCATAGGCAGGAAAAGTTAATCATGATGCTTGTCTCATGTCTTAGCTCTATTTCACTTGCATTAGTTAGAGCAAGTCTCAAGATCAGCCCACATTCACAGCATGTGGAATGAACTCACACTGCAAAAGGGCATTAACTCTTTGAGTCCTTCTGGCTCTCTGGCTTTATCTGATTAACTCCTTGAGTTCTTGGTGAGGGCCACACTCTTTTCATCCTGCTCATATATGCCTTTTTGCCCAACAAATCCAGAAAAATATTTGCAAAAGTGGGTTAGCGAGACAATATGTGTTTATGTTATTTTTTAATGTGGAAATTTATACAATATAAAAAGAAAAATCCTATATTCCAGGAACAAATAAGTTACCTATAAAGAATTAAACCAGTTAACAGATGTATGTAAAACTATGTGCTTTTTTAGTAGTCATAGAAACACAAATTAAAATAGCAGTAAATATTCTTATGTACCACTTTAGAAAATGTTTTAAAAAACTATGGTACCTCATGTTGGCAAAGAAGGAGCAGTTGAAATAGATATTGTCATGTACAGTTCCTGGGAATACATTAATATAAGTATTTCTGGAGATCATTTGGACAATTTATATTAAACATTAAAATTGATTATAGTATATGACCCTGGGATTCCATTTCACTGGTTAGGAAATCACCCTAAACACAGAAAAAAACTTATTCAAAAAGATGTTCTTGAAGATTTCTTTATAATACCAAAATTTTAGAAATGGCTTAAATATATACCTTATTTATATGTCTGTCTAAATCTTCCCTGTCCTAAAGAATTTAAAACTAAATCAACTCTGTGTATTTCCTTGATAGAAATATATAAAAAGAGAAAAGCCTACTTGACTCATCAGCAGCATCCTTTTTAAAATTTTGCTTCTGGGATACTTTTCTTTCCTGGTTTTCATCTCCAGACTGGCTTTTCCTACTTCATCTCCTGTTCTGTTTCATCTTCAGCTCAGCCTATTAGGATTGTAGTACCTAAGGCTCACTCTTTTGTCCTTTTCTCCATTTTTTCTTTCCATGGATCATTTCCAGTCTCATGGCTTAGAATAATATCTCTAAGTTAATGCTCCCAAATTAATACCTTCTGTATAGACTTTTCTCCTGAATTCTAGACCCATATGTCCAGCTGCCTACTTTATATTCTTGTCTGCATGTGAATAGCTTACACTCAACATTTCAGAGCTCAACTCCTGATGCTTTTCAGTTGTTCAGGCAAGCACTACCGCACCATCTTTGACTTCATTTTGCACCTTCTACCCTGTATCTGGGCTGTCTGGACATCATGTCTGTTCTGTCTCATAGTATATTAGAATTCAGCCACTTCTTATCAACTTCTGTACATCACTGCAGAAGACTCTTAATAGGTCTCCTGCTTCTATTCCCCCTTCCTTGGCCTGTTCTTAGAAGATCACTAGAACAGTGGTTCTTAACTGGGACAATTTTGTCTCCAGGGGACATTTGACAATGTAGGGAGACATTTTTGGTGATCAGAAATTGGGGGATGGTGCTATGGTGTCTAGTACAGTTGACCCTTGAACAACATGGGGGTTAGGAGTACTTACTCCCTACATAGTTGAAAATCTGCATACAACTTTAACTTCTCCCCACCCCAAATTTAGCTACTAAGAGCCTACTGTTGACTGGAACCTTTACCAATAACACATAGTTGATCAACACATGTTTTGTGTGTTATGTGATTTATATACTATGTTCTTACAATAAAGTAAGCTAGAGGAAAAATGTCATAAGGAAGAGAAAATACATTTATAGTACTGTACTATATTTATTGAGAAAAATCCACACGTATGCGTGCCCTTGCTGTTCAAATGCATGTTGTTCAGGGCCCACTATATGTAAAGGGGAGAGGCAGGGATGCTGCTGAACACCCCACAGCACCCAAGAGTGCTGCCCTTCCCCCACCCTGGAAATACGGACAAAGCCAAGCTAAAGACTATTACTTAGCCAAAAATGTCTACTACTGTGGTTAAGAAACTCTGTACTGTAGTTAATTTTTCTTAAATATGTCATGGCATGGCACTGCTCAGACCCTCCAATGCTTCCCAGTCTCATTTAAAGTAAAAACCAACATTCTTAGAGCAGCTTGCAAAGCTGGCCCTCTTTTACATCTAGGGATTCCTCTTGCTCATTCTTTTCCAGCCACTCTAACCTTGCTGTCTTAAACACACCAGGTATTTTCTCAGTCTGGGGCAGGGCATGGGCAGCCTCCATCTTTGGTCTATCTCATCTTCTCAGTGAGGCTTCCCTAGTCAATGGCATTTAAAATTGCAACCCACATCTTCTCCCCTGGCACTCCCAATCCACATTACCCCTTTTCCCCCTCTTTTTGTTATAATGCTTTATGTTTCTAAAATTCTATAAAATATTTTTATATCACATTTATTACTTGTATTGACAGCCCTCTACCCTCCTTCCATAGAAGAATGTAAGCCACAAAACGGAAGAGTTATTTTTTGGACTGATTGGTCTTAAGTGCCCAAAAGAGTGCTTAGTACAAAACAGACACTCTGAATATTGCACTGAATAGACATTTGTAAATATCTGTTGTATTAATTAGTAACAATTTAGCTGTGTTTCTTTTAATAGGATTTTGGATAATTTTATTGTCTTTTTACTTTTTTAAAATTTCCCAAATTCTGTCTGTATAGGCATTATTTTTATAATAGAAAAAAGCAAAATAAGTGTGAAATTTATTGTTATTAAATATTTTGTCTTTTATTAGCAAAATTTAAATATATGTTTTATTATACATCTTTAAGATTTTCAAATAGTAGGTTTCTGAAACAGCATGTAAAATGAATATGATCTTAGTTTGTTAATATATTCTAGTATTTACAGATAAAAGATTAAACATGTTTTCTGTTTTCAAAGGACTGTGATTTAATCTCCAAAGAACCAAAGCCTTTTGTATTTGAAGGGAAAGTACGAAGTCCTATTGTTGTTCCTACAGCAGGAGACGAAGCATCTGGGAATTCAGGCAATTTAAGAAAAGGAGTTGTAATGAAGACGAGTATGTCTCCTGAAGGAGATGAAGGTGATAAGATACCTACCTTTATGGATCTGGCAAAAGAAGATATTAAAGATAATGACAGAACATTACAACAGCAGCTGGGTGATCCAAACAGAACTATTTCATCAGTCCACGGTTTTAACAATGATATTGTGAAGGCCTTGGACCGAATTACACTGCAGAATGTTCCTTCACATTCAGCCCCAGGTTTTACTGCAGGAATGAAGAAGGACTACAGTCTCCCTCTTACTGTCCTTACATGCACAAAAGCATGTCCACACATGGCTACTTGTGGAAATGTTCTGTTTGAGGGAAGAACAGTTCAGCTCGGGAAGCTTTGTTGTACTGGAGTCGAAATGGAAGATGATGAAGATACAGAGTCTACATCATCAGTGGAACAAGCATCAGTGGAAGTCTCTGATGGGCCAACACTCCATGACGCAGATCTCTATATTGAGATTGTGAAAAATACAAAGTCTGTCCCAGAATATTCAGAGGTGGCTTACCCTGATTATTTTGGTCACATTCCACCTCCATTCAAAGAGCCTATTTTAGAAAGGCCTTATGGTGTACAAAGGTGAGTTGCAAATTTCTTGTACCTTCTAAACAAGACCATTGTCAAACTATGAGACACAGTTAAAAAAACTACTTTGGGTATTTAGGAAGGAAATGTACTCTGACTTAAAGTTATTACAATTTTTTATCCTGCTTTGGAAATTTTGTCATGTTTTAAATTGTCCTTATGTGTTTATTTTATTTATTTTCTAAGCTCATTACTTATTCAAGTGAAGCCAATATAATAAACCTGATGATTTATCAGTTTAGACATTTTTTATTTACATTAAATATAAATACAGAAAAGTAGATTTTTTTAGTAATCTTATTAATTAATTTATTTTTTATTAAGTATTATTGATATACACTCTTATGAAGGTTTCACATGAAAAAACAATGTGGTTACTACATTTACCCATATTATCAAGACTCCACCCATACCCCATTGCAGTCACTGTCCATCAGTGTAGTAAGATGCCACAGATTCACTGTTTGCCTTCTCTGTGCTACACTGTCTTCCCCATGACTGCTCACACCATATGTACTAAATATAATACCCTCAATCACCTTCTCCCTCCCTCCCCACCAACCCTCCCACACTCCTCCCCTTTGGTAACTGCTGGTTTCTTCTTGGAGTCTGTGAGTCTGCTGCTGTTCTGTTCCTTCAGTTTTGCTTCATTGTTATACTCCACAAATGAGGGAAATCATTTGGCACTTGTCTTTCTCCTCCTGGTGTATTTCACTGAGCATAGTATCCTACAGCTCCTTCCATGTTGTTGCAAATGGTAGGATTTCTTTCTTTCTTATGGCTGAATAGTATTCCATTGTGTGTATGTACCACATCTTCTTTATGCATTCATCTATTGATGAACACTTAGGTTGCTTCCATATCTTGGCTATTGTAAATAGTGCTGCAATAAACATAGGGGTGCGTATGTCTTTTTGAATCTGAGAAATTGTATTCTTTGGGTAAATTCCAAGGAATGGGATTCCGGGTCAAATGGTATTTCTATTTTTAGTTTTTTGAGGAACTTCCGTATTGCTTCCCACAATGGTTGAACTAGCTTACATTCCCACCAGCAGTGTAGGAGGGTTCCCCTTTCTCTGCATCCTTACCAGCATTTGTTGTTCTTAGTCTTTTTGGTGCTAGCCATCCTTACTAGTGTGAGGTGATATTTCATTGTGGTTTTAATTTGCATTTCCCTGATGATTAGTGATGTGGAACATCTTTTCATTTGTCTGTTGGCCATCTGAATTTCTTCTTTGGAGAATTGTCTCTTCATATCCTCTGCCCATTTTTAAATTGGATTATTTGCTTTTCGAGTGTTAAGGCGTGCAAGTTCTTTATATATTTTGGATATTAACCCCTTGTCAGTTATGTCATATACAAATATATTCTCCTATTGTGTAGGATGGCTTTTGTTCTGCTGATGGTGTCCTTTGCCATACAGAAGCTTTTTAGTTTGATGTAGTCCAATGTGTTCATTTTTGCTTTTGTTTCCCTTGCCCGAGGAGTTGCATTCAGGAAGAAGTTGCTCATGCTTGTATTCAGGAGGTGTTTGCCTGTGTTGTCTTCTAAGAGTTTTATGGTTTCATGACTTACATTCAAGTCTTTAATCCATTTTGAATTTACGTTTGTGTATGGGGTTAAACAATAATCCAGTTTCATTCTCTTGCTTATAGCTGTCCAGTTTTGCCAACACCAGTTGTTGAAAAGGCTGTCATTTCTCCATTGTATGTCCATGGCTCCTTTATCATATATTAAATGACCATATATGGTTGGGTTTTTATCAGGGCTCTCTAGTCTGTTCCATTGTTCCATTGTTCTGTTCTTGTGCCAGTACCAAATTGTCTTGATTACTGTGGCTTTGTAGTAGAGCTTGAAGTTGTGGAGTGTAATCCCTCCTGCTTTATTCTTCCTTCTCAGGATTGCTTTGGCTATTTGGGGTCTTTTGTGATTCCATATGAATTTTAGAACCATTTTCTCCAGTTCATTGAAGAATACTGTTGGTATTTTGATAGGGATTGCATTGAATCTTTAGATTGCTTTAGGCAGGATGGCCAATTTGACAATATTAATTCTTCCTATCCATGAGCACGGGATGTGTTTCCATTTATTGGTATCTTCTTTAATTTCTCTCATGAATGTCTTGTAGTTTTCAGAGTATAGGTCTGACCTTCTTGGTTAGGTTTATTCCTAGGTATTTTATTCTTTTGGATGCAATTGTAAGTGGAATTGTTTTCCTGATTTCTCTTTCTGCTAGTTCATCATTAGTGTATAGGAATGCAACAGATTTCTGTGTATTAATTTTGCATCCTGCAACTTTGCTGAATTCAGATATTAGATCTAATAGTTTTGAAGTGGATTCTTTAGGGTTTTTTATGTACAATATCGTGTCATCTGCAAACAATGACAGTTTAACTTCTTCCTTACCAATCTGATGCCCTTTATTTCCTTGTGTTGTCTAATTTCTGTGACGAGGACCTCCAGTACTATGTTGAATAAAAGTGGGGAGAGTGGGCATCCTTGTCTGGTTCCCAGTCTTAAAGGAAAAGCTTTCAGCTTCTCACTCTTAAGTAGGATGTTGGCTGTGAGTTTGTCATATGTGGCCTTTATTATGTTGAGGTACTTACCCTCTATACCCATTTTGTTGAGAGTTTTTATCATGAATAGATGTTGAATTTTGTCAAATGCTTTTTCAGCATCTATGGAGATGGTATGTGATTTTTGTCCTTCTTTTTGTTGATGTGGTGGATGATGTTGATGGATTTTTGAATATTATCCCAACCTTGCATGCCTGGAATAAATCCTACTTGATTATGGTGGATGACCTTTTTGATAAATTTTTGAATTCTGTTTGCAAATATTTTGTTGGATATTTTTGCATCTATGGTCATGAGGGATATTAGTCTGTACTTTTCTTTTTTTTGTGGTGTCTTTGCCTGGTTTTGGTATTAGGGTGATGCTGGCCTCATAGAATGAGTTTGGAAGTATTCCCTCTTCTACTTTTTGGAAAACTTTAAGGATGATGGGTATTAGGTCTTCACTCAGTGTTTGATAAAATTCAGCAGTGAAGCCATCTGGTCCAGGAATTTTGTTCTTAGGTAGTTTTTTGATTAACAGTTCAATTTTGTTGCTGGTAATTGGTTTGTTCAGATTTTCTGTTTCTTTCTGGGTCAGCCTTGGAAGGTTGTATTTTTTCTAGAAAGTTGTCCATTTCTTCTAGGTTATCCAGTTTTTTAGCATGTAATTTTTCATAGTATTCTCTAATAATTCTTTGTATTTCTGCTGTGTCTAGTGGTTTTTCCTTTCTCACTGCTGATTCTGTTTATGTGTAGACTCTTTTTTTCTTGATAAGTCTGGCTAGGGATTTATCTATTTTGCTTATTTTCTCGGAGGGCCAGCTCCTGCTGTCATTTATTTTATTGTTTTATTTGTCTCGATTTTATTTATTTCTGCTCTAATCTTTATTATGTCCCTCCTTCTTCTGATGTTGGGCTTCATTTGTTCTTTTTTTTCTAGTTTACTTAATCATAAGTTTAGAGTGTTTGAGATTGTTCTTCTTTCCTGAGGTAGGCCTGTATTGCAGCATACTTCCCTCTTAGCACGGCTTTTGCTGCATCCCACAGATTTTGAGTTGTTGAATTATTATTGTCATTTGTCTTCATATATTGCTTTATCTCTGTTTTTATTTGGTCATTGATCCATTGGTTATTTAAGAGCATGTTGTGATGCCTCCATGTGTTTGTGGAATTTTTCATTTTCTTTGTGTAATTTATTTCTAGTTTCATACTTTGTGGTCTGAGAAACTGGTTCGTACAATTTCAATCTTTTTGAATTAACTGAGGCTCTTTTTTTGGCCTAGTATATGACCTCTCCTTGAAAATGTTCCGTGTGTACTTGAGAGGAATGTATATTCTGCTGCATTTGGCTATAGAGTTCTGTAGATGTTTGTTAGGTCCGTCTGTTCTAATGTGTTTTTCAGTGTCTCTGTCTCCTTACTTATTTTCTGTGTGGTTCATCTGTCCTTTGGAGTGAGTGGAGTGTTGAAGTCTCCTAGAATGAATGCATTGGATTCTATTTCCCCTTTTAATTCTGTGAGTATTTGTTTCACATTTGTAGGTGCTCCTGTGTTGGGTGCATAGATATTTATAATGGTTATATCTTATTGTTAGATTGACCCCTTTATCATTATGTAATGTCCTTCTTTGTCTCTTGTTACTGTCTTTGTTTTGAAGTCTATTTTGTCTGATACAAGTACTGAACTCCTGCTTTTTTCTGTTATTTGAATGAAATATCTTTTTTTATCCGTTCACTTTTAGTTTGTATATATCTTTCTGTTTAAAATGAGTCTCTTGTAAGCAGCATAAAGATGGGTCTTGTTTTTCTTATCCATTCAGTGACTCTATGTCTTTTGATTGGTGCAGTCAGACCATTTACAGTTACGGTGATTATGTGTAGGGATGTACTTACTGCCATTGCAGGCTTTAGATTCATGGTTACCAAAGGTTCAACGGTAATTCCCTTACTATCTAGCAGTATAATTTAACTTACTTAATATGCTATTATAAACAGAACCTAAACATTCCTTTTTTTTCCCCCTCCTTTTTCTTCCTCCTCCATTCTTTATATATTAGTATCATAGTGTGTGCTCTTTGTCTATCCCTTGACTGACTTTGGGAGTTTTTTATTTAATTTTGCATTTGGTTAGTAATTAGCTGTTCTACTTTCTTTACTGTGGTTCTATTACCTCTGGTGACAGCTATTAAACCTTATGAACACTTATGTCTATAGCAGTCCCTCCAAAATACACTGTAGTGATGGTATGTGGGAGTTAAATTCTCTCAGCTTTGGTCATCTGAAAATTTTTTAATCCCTTCTTCAAATTTAAATGATAATCTTGCTGGATAAAGTATTCTTGGTTTTAGGCCCTTGTTCTTCATTGCATTAAGTATATCATGCCACTCCCTTCTTGTCTGTAAGGTTTCTGCTGAGAAGTCTCATGATAGCCTGATGGTATT